GACCCTTGACAATTGCAAAGAGTTCCAACACGATTTTCTCCAGAATTGCATGTATTTGGAGAAGTGTCTTTCACCGTCATTCTATACTGACTTTTTGGAAGCGTTATTGTCCTACACTGACCCAAAAATTGAACCAGTGCGTGCTGCAGAACTCTTATGTCTTCGAGGACAAGAGAAAAGAAAAGTAGGAGACAAGGAAAATGACTACCAGGTGGACATGGAAGACGCATATAAACTGTACTCTGAGAACAGTGGTAAATTCGAGACAAACACAATGTCGACAGTCTTCTTGCTTAATAGTTATGCAGACTCTATTTCCAAAAGAGGAGACCCTGCTAACAATCCAGAAGTAAAAAAAGTCAATGGAAATGCTCTGGAGCTCAGCGAATCTCTGGAGAAGGGTCACCCAGAAAGGGCAGAAGCTCTTTTACTTGCTGGTCGATTTGCAAAGCGAAGACGTGAGTGGCCTGAGGCAGAAATGAGGTTACAAGAGGCATTACAGCTATTTCAGGAGTTCCTCGGGACACATTTGAGTACAGTTCACGCCTTGAAGGAAATGGCGGACTTTTATTTCTCTGGCCCGACTGACAACGATTTGGAAAAAGCTCTCGCGTATTACAAAAGGGCGCTTGAGATGATGAAACAGTTAGGAATGGAAAACAACAAAGCGATCATCATGATTTTGAACAACTATGGAATTTGTTCTGAAAGACAGAAAGGAAACTTTCAGGAAGGAACAAAATACCTCGAACGAGCTTATATTTTAGCGGACAGAGAGTTGCAACCTGATCACATGTGGAAAGTAAAGATCAAGACTCACCTAGCCTTACTATATGAGAAGAAAGGAAAGGAAGAAGATGCCATAGCATCAATGCAAGAAGCCCTTGAAATGTGTAACAGACTTAAAAAGCCAATTAAGCACCTGGGAAATAAGCATAGGAATGACGTAACTTCCTTTTTAAAACGTCATAAAGAATATTTTCCCCAAAGCAAATTCCCGCGCTAAAGTTCCCGACCGTGGGTATGTTTAAAACTCAGAAAACTGTCCCTGATTTACAGGAAAGATCGTTGAGATGGAGAGCTCACAAGACTCAGCTATTCAGTGCCGTAACTATTTTACTGTGAGCCCCCAGATGAGCACCACAATAATCCGTGTGATGGCTGTGGTTCCTTGGGACCCCTGCGTTATATTATGCTGGATCAATCTCGATTTCAGACGTTCAAACTGTCTCATGGGATATATTAAAAAATACGAAATTAGTTACCTTTTATTATTACGCGTCTTTGCCTTCGAGGGCATGTAATCGCGACGCATCTTTGACTTCAAGATATGAGTAATGCGTGTTCCTACTTTCAAGTTCACCTTGCCAAATTCAAAGTTAATTGTTGTTGGAAACGTTCATTAAGGTCAGCAACGATTTAATAACAATTTACTGGGAGAACAGTGTTCTTTTATGAACTTTTTATTGGGCTGCCCTTAAGGGCAACGATCAATCAACAATTACTTTTCATCTATGTCAAAAAGGCAAAATGGCAGACGGAACTTTCAGGTCGTCTAGCGGACAGATTTGGAAGTCGACTTAAAACGACCACAAAATCCCTTATTGCGTGGAGTTATTGGCGCTATATCTTTGCCGAATGATTTTCTGAATACAGTATTCGGATGAGGTAGTTAGCAGAAACAATGCCCTCTCACGGTCCCGACGTTTGCAATTCTCGCCCTGTGTGTGAAAAGCCTACAAGAAAGGAATATGCTATCCGTAATCTCTCCGTCAAATAGAAACTTATTTCCTTGGGTAGTTAGAAGGGTTTTAAATGCAACATCCGACAGAAATGAAACTGAAACGTAATTTGCTCTGTGAGTTTTAAGAAAAAGAAAATTACTATTATATAAGGAATGTTCAAAACCCCCAAAATAGGCTTGATTTCCGCTGGTCCCTCATTCCTCCCCCAGAAGAGACCGAGAAGTCTGTTCGAAGAAGGAGCACGGACTAATTTTCCAAACAGCGGCTGGTAATCGAGCCTACCCAAAACGTTGACTCTGTCACGTTTTATATGCGTAGTAAGACAATAATTTTGGATCCTCTGGTTAGATCAACTTAGTCACGTTATAACTGTCGTGCTATATTTTTGGGGGGTAGAGCTGGATTGAAGGCGGGATCGGGGTGCTTTGTGTAAAGTCCCAGTTAAAAAAAAAATTGCTGATCATTTCTTGTTTCAAAAGGCTGTTTTTTAAGGGGTAATAACTGCAAAAGTTACTTTTCAGCCAGAGTTTAAATACGCGTAGTAGGCAGACCGTAACCAAGGAATCTAACAACCACGTTCCCGGGGTTCTCTCCTACCCCGCTCCGTAGGACGGGATCTAATCCGAACGTTGAACGTTTCATGAGACGGACCAAACTTAGTGAGTAAAGTTCATGAAAATTCCGCATCTGGCTCAGTTAAGTCCGTCTGAATGATCGCGGTCCAACACGTTCTTATCCGCCTACTTCAGACGAATAGAACGGAACGTCTGAAGATCGTCTCCGGTCTTGACATGCGACCCATTTGTAGGATGATCTTTATGTAGCCTCGTTCGACAGAAAATTTATTACTGATCTGATTCAGCTGATTGGTTCGACGCGTCCTAAGTTCGATCTCTGACCCAAGAGAGGATGTTAACGTAATTTAGGTCGACCAAAATAAGAGTTTGGTTCGTCTCATAAAACGTTCGACGTTTGGCCTAGGCCTTGTGATGTGCCTTCACAGGGTGGCCAACATTTTAAAACCCCACATTGGGTTTCTTTAGTTACGGATTCCTGGTTACTGGTATCAATTTGCTGAGGCACCGAAAAGTGAGACTTTGCAGGTTTCACTGAAAAAAAATGGAAAATAGACATGGCCGACAAATGCCCCATGGGGAGGTCAGGTTTAGTATTGTGTGAGCTACTTATTATTTGCTCTTGCTAATTATTTTTAACATTCAGCCATTCATGAAAAGCCGATGTAGGTATAAACAGGAGCCAATGATAATGACAATATAATAACAATAACTATTATTATTATTATTATTATTATTATTAAATTTCGATAGAGCACACATTCACTAGTTGATCGTGGCTCTTTACAACAATATTAAAAAAATAATCATAATAACTAATTTTAATTAGACGTCTCGCCCTTTGCTTGTAACCTTCTTTAGTGAAGGTTACAAGCAAAGGTTGAGAGCGTCACGGTTTTACCCTTTTTTTTTTCCGTTGACACTGTTCCTTACCGGTAACACTAGAGATGTAAAATAAATAACTAAATATTGCCTTTTTCTTCGTATTTATTTACTGAAAATATCCTGCGGAAAACGTAGGGAAATGACTGATCAATTCCCCAGGGAAACTCCTCCTGAAAAACTCCTTGGGCCAAATATTTAAACAAAGTCTTAAGCCGCGGTTTAACGAATCTTTAAGCCTCCAGATCTCTTCTTTGGTGGGTTGTTTTAAGAAGATAAATGCGTTTCTAATCTTCTCTATATGCTTTCATAAAATTGTTCACAATAAATGGGTTCCTTGTGGCTAATGTTTTAAAAGCCTTTTGTACGGGAAAATGTGAAGCAAAAAACAATTTAGCCGAATGTTCTATGCACGTCAATTGAACCGAAATCCAGAATTGTCACATATGTTTTTACAAAAATCGTAAAACCTTTTGGGATGTGCGAATGTTCGACTTTATCGGCTCAGTCTGTGTTTGAGGAAGGGAGATGGTATATCTCGAGGTGGAGAGACGTATAGAGAAGACCATAGCCGAAGAAATGTATCGACCTGTGGGGAATACATTTTATGCACGTTTTGAAAATTTACATATGAACATTAAAATCTTCGGAAGACAGCCTTTAATAGAACCTGCAGTTTTAGCGCTGCGGTTCACATTTTTATGCTCTCTTTCAGTATCAAGAACCCAATCTTTTAAAAAAAAGGTTCAAACCTTTTTTACTAACTTGAAATATGTGACTTTATTCATTTGAATATTTTTAATAACGTATTAGCAGCACGAGCATTTCTGATAAGCTTCCTATTCGTTACTATTAAAAGTACATATAATGCAACCTTTTTGTACAGAATTGCACAATAGCCAATTTTTAGTTATTTATTTCTTTAAAAAGACATTTTTTAAGAATAAAAATGTTTGAAACGTAAGAAAAATTCAGAGAAGATTTTTTTTAGTTTTTAATTAACAACGCAACAATGCAACTGGTTGACGCGACGCCATCAAAAGACGCTTTTGCTTAAAAAAAATCTGCATGAGATGTTCAATCACGCAATGCGATTTTCAAAAGTTTTAAGATACCGCTTTTATTCAGAATTTAGTAACAGTACAAGAATTAGTTTTTTTATGATATTTATGCCAAAATTAACTTGATAAAGCCATGTACCTCATTCGAAGGTGGTCCCAACCGCACATCCATAATTTGAATATGTAAAATTCAAGCCATTTCGGGTAAACAAATTGGCTCTTGTGTTTCTACCCCTGTTTAAAATTTGAAATATCTCGTTTCCTTTACAAAGATGATTTATGAACCTGTATCATATTTTTTCAAGAAATAACAAACTATCGTCGAGAAGAAAATCGGAGGCATACGTTTGTTGTTGAACATGGAAAAATCCTTATTTTTGATAGATGCGGGTAAAGTTTCAGTACGGTAGTAATAGATTTTGTCTCAATATTTTCTTTGCGTTGGTTAATAAGCGAGCCTTATTTCACCAGACTGTTCTTTTTAAACTTTCGTTTTGATACATGGGCAAATTGAAGGATATCTGGTGGTAACGAGTCGATTTTAAAGAAAAATAAGATATGAAACAAGCACAGAACAGAAGTCACTCGTAGATATAGCTCAAGCTTTGTATTTGTTTCCTCGGAGGTCCGCTCAATGTCTTGAAAAGAACGTCATCGCCGATGTTGTCACTTTTCAAACCCTCAGTTCTTCCCTGAAACAGGTTTTGTTGAGATTATCGTCAAAAAGAAAAATAACCATGTCTGCTAAGACTGCCACGCACCCTAAATACATTGATATGATCGTAAGTGCGATAAAAGCACTGGGCGATAAAAGCGGCTCATCTCGACAGGCCATCAACAAGTACATTGTACAGGAGTACAAACTCACGGACAACAATCACCATAGTGCTATGCTAAAACAGGCGCTCAAACGGGGATCTGGACCGAACGGTCCGCTTGTTCACAACAAGGGAAAAGGTGCAGCCGGTTCTTTCAAGGTTAAACCAGCTCCAGCGAAGCCTGCTAAAACGGTTGCCAAGAAAGCACCGGCGAAGAAAAGCGCGTCCAAGAAAGGACCTGCCAAGAAGAAGGCCCCTGCTGCTAAAGGAAAAGCAAAGCCCGCGAAACCTGCTGCCCCGGCTGCACCGCCTAAGGAAACAACAGCGCCAGTGGAAGCACCGGCGGCTAAACAACTTGCCAAACCAAGTAAAGCTAAAGTCACCAAGAAGAGTGGAAAGAAGTCCAAAGCTGCGTCCCCGAAAAAGCCCAAAGTCATGAAAGCGAAGAAATCGGCAAAGAAAGCCGCTTCTAAAAAGTAAAGTGAACTCAGGTCAATCACGTCAGAAGAGTGTTGATTTTTCAAACTGTTATGAGACTGTTCGAATCTATGTGATTTTACACTGTATATTGATGATTTTAGCAGCGTTTCAGTTTTGCCCTGCTGTTGCAATACTAGCCTGCGAGCAAACTCTTTGGGGGGGGCTATAAAGCCCTTTTTTCTCCACCCATCCCCCCCTCCATCCAAACCCCAGAGCAACCTAAAGAGCTTGCTCGAGGATATTCACTGAAATGGCAATTTATGTAAAAACCGGCGAATATGAAGAAGGTACTAGTTCCGAAAGCAGCTCTTCTTGATTTTACTCAACAGGTACCGTTTCAACTTTTTAATGTTTAGAGAATAAGATTGTTAGTTAAATATTGTCTGTAAAATAGAAAAAAAAACAGCCTGAGAGTGTCATTTGTCAAATCTGAAAATAAGTTGTAAGAAAATGACGTGTATAGAATGTGCATTAACCTGTAGCTTTTCAACATTGTTTCACAAATAACAATAAAATTTAACTGATTTCATGCACAAAACCAGAACGATTTTACCATAAATCAAAAAGTACGAGAGAATTCGTCATCACAGCTGGCGTCGGGGTATGCAATCAACAATCGATGAAATCGATAGTCATTCGATTAAAATCGGTGCCAATTTAATAATCGAATGATATCGGAAACCGGTAAACGAAGATTCTGACATTCACAAGCACATGGTCGACTTTCATTGAATCGGACTGCCAACTGATATTTATATTGGTTGTTTTCGAATCGATTCATACGGGTTCATGCTGCGACCATCATTAGCGATCCATAAGTACGCTGTAAGATCTTTATCAAAATAGATAGTATGCGTAGAATGAAAGGTTTAGTATCTAAAGAGAAACTGTGGTGTTGCGTTGGATGGGGAGTGAAGCTCAAAGCGGGTAGATTGGCCACCATAAGGCAATTGAGAAACAGTTGACCAGCCTAATATCAGGATTTGGAGAAGTAAGGAGCAAAAAGGGGAAACAGTGAAGGTCCCCTGACCTCCCCTCTCCTCTTCCCTAATCCCTAACGAAGGCCTGATACTCAGCTGGCTATCAGTTGACAAAACCAAATTTTTTGTTGCCACTTGCACATCTCCCATTATACACCATATTTGCCCCCAAACGTTTGCATAACCACTGGGTTTTACAGTCGTCCCAAGAGAAATTGAAGATAAAAAGCTTATGCAAAATTTTTGGGGGCAAACAAAGTGTATCATGGGAGATGTGCAATTGGCGAATAGAAATTCAAAATAGAAAGAAAGCTCGCGGGGGACGATGGGAAGAGGTCGACTTCTTCCCTTTTTCCTTTCCGTCGTCCCCTACGCGCTTTTTTTTTTCCCTCACCCCATCCTCCCCTCCACTACGACACAAAGAGGCGGTAGCAGTCGTACCCTGGGTGCGAAAGACTTTTCCTCTGCGATTTCGGTCACTTTTACGTTCTTCGCCCCGAAGCATCCCGCCACGTGCGAGAAAAAACCTCTGGTACCAAGGGTATTGGATGGCTAATACCAACTGATATCAGTTACCGTATTTCCTCGAATAATAGCCGTCCCTCGATTAATCACCACCCTCGAATAATCGCCCCGCTTAGAAGGAAATATTTAACATAATCGCCACCCTCGGATAATCGCCTTCACTCAAAAAACCGCCCCCCTTAGAAGGAAATAATTATTTAAAATAATCGCCTCCCTCAAATAACCTCCTTCCTTCAAATAATCGCCTCCTTTTTGCGCGAAAAAAAAATGATAATCGCCTTCGGCTATTATTTGATTAAATAGGGTAACTAACACCCCAGGTGGTTAACCCACGTCATATGTGCAATGTTGATTCTCTATAACTGTGCAATGATGGGAGGTTTTAACAGGGTCTGGCTCAACAATATTTTATGGGCTCCAAATTCAAAAAACGATATATGTGTTTTTAAATTTGGTATTTTGCTTGGTTTATAAAGTTAGCTACCTTCGGAACAACACAGGTGTGGGTAATAATTACGAGAGTTTTTTGCCCAGGGTAAAAGAATATTGTGGAATAATTGAGAGGGATTATTCGACATCAACCAAGCCTGAGGCACAGTAAATGAATGTATCCTAAAAAGATACAACAACCCGACAGTTTTGAGGATTTAATTAGCCCTGAAGAGCCGCATTTCATATATTTGCAAAAATAAATATACATACAAAACGATTTCACATTCAAATCCTCCAAAATAATAGATAACAACTGATTTGTTAGTAACTAGATCGCATTCTGAAGTTTTGGACTTCCTTTCTTAGTGTGGCCTGATTAGGAATGACACTACAGAATGCACGAAAAATATTTTAGATTTTCCGAAACATTTATAAATCCTCCACTAAGAGTTCTTCACTAGGTGCTTCCGCCAAATGTGCTGGAAGCCTCGGCGAACGGCGCATGATTTTTCCATCAAGATTTAGTACCACCTGACGTGTTTTATCCAGATAAAACTTGAAATGCGCGCCCTGTCCCGCTGACCAACTCTCATCGTGCTGACATAGGGAGCAACTCGTGTCTTTTTCGGAGCCTTCCTACTTGATGTCATTTTTTCGACAGTGATGAGACATTAATCACAACAACAGATGCGAGGTGGCATTTCGCTCCTGGTTTGATTTCAGGACAGTAATTTCTTTCGTTGTTCTTGTAGTAAAAATTCCAAATGCTCTGCTCGTTTCATGGCCGCCTATGCAAAAAAGAAGAAAGTATATTTTAAGTCCGTTTCTTGCTGCTGCTATACGCCAAGGATTTTTTTCCGTCACAGAAGAACCCAAAAGACCTGTCTGTCTGAAGTGGTACTGATTGTACGTTACACTGTTTGAAACAACAGGTTTGTTTATCTGTCATGCCAGGGCCTTACAAAGGAAAAGAATGGCCGCTCGGTTAGAGCCGCGCTGGACGGCTTGCAATCCATTGCCCTGAGTTGCAAGTCCCGCCCTGTCCACTAAATGGATTTTTCTCAGTAATCCTGAGTTTAACTCCTCTGCTATCTCTATGAATAGTCAACTGGTTTGCCTCTTCGTTACGTTTCAACGAATTATTTCTTTCAGTGATTTTCTCGGCCCCATAATCCATCAAAAGTAAATGTAGCTCTCTAGTTTATGTTTTAACAGGATTCGTTACCTGATGCTGTTCTCGTAACGTTTTCATTGTTTCTTCTTTCTTAGCTATGGCTTGCTTCACTCTGTTGAACAACAAATAATAGTTCACAAACCTCCACATTTTCAAATCTCCGTCCAACTGATATTTTTGTTGCGTTGCGTTGGCAAGAGGCAACGAAGGGTGCCTGAGCGAGCGGCGAAGCTGAAAAACCCCAGCTACCGAGAAATCACTTAACTATGGTTCGTTAGTTTGAACTGAAACACTCCCCGACATAGTCTCCCTCGCAGCCGTTTTTTGGATGTCACGCAATGCTCTCCCTCTTTTGGGGGAGCGTTACGTGACATCGTCACCTCCTCCAGGCATTTGGAGTAACGCCACATTGGCGAGAGGCGAGTGGTCTCAGCATTAATCTAGCCTGCGAGGAAACTCTCTATCAAATAAGACCCTAAGGGCACGAAAAGGATGTCACGCCCAAGCGTTACATTTTCGCTCGCCGCTTGTGCGTGACATCCCTCGCCTCAGAGCTCGAACAAAGCTTTTTTCAGCTAGTCTTTCATTTTCTCATACGTTACCAACAAACCTTTTATGTACTTCCTCCATTTCTTGTTCCTTTTCTCTGGTTATTCGTTCTATTTCCAGTCGGTGGCGAGCTTTCATTTCACTTAATTCTGTTTTTAGTCGTTTGTTGTCTTCATCGGTTGTCACAAGCCTGATATACGAAGAAAAAAATCGTAAACATTCGCACTCTATTCCCGTTAGCCGACAAATCGCCGCAACGGCCATTTCTTGACTTGGCGATACAGAGTTGGTACCAACCTGTCAGCAAATTCCTGCCGAATTATATCTGCAACTTTTCCTCTTTCTTCTTGCAGCCGTTTTGTCACTTTATCGATGTCTTCCATTTCGCCATCTTTCTGCTTCAACAAGCTTTTTAAGCGCGCATTTTCTCCATCTACCTCGGATAAACGAGCCTGCAAAGTTCAATTCCAAAATTCATATTCTCCTTCAGTGTAGTGTGAAAAGTCATCCATCTCTTCGCCCCACCCCTCAGGTGGCAAGGCGAGGGAGACTGAAAAGCAAACTCATGGCCGCCAATGAGATATTTATACATAATTGCATAAATTAGTCTGTGACGTCACGGGACGGCATTATAACGCTGGGAATTTTGCCGCGCGCTGGGGAGTGGGGCGAAGAGACGGATGATATTTCAGACTACCTCCAGTGCGTCAGAGCCGCTGGAACACCTCTACCGCCGTCCGCGTCTTTGTTCTGTCCAGGTCTCTCCAAGAGACCATGGTCACTTAGTCTGTCTTGTACTACCTATCTATCTGCGTTTCTCCCAGTTCCTTTTGTTAACATCCGCCAGTTTGTTGTTCTATTTGTAGCGTCTGTCAGTAAATAGATTTATCGGCTGCAAGGGCGTTTGTTAGCTACTAATATAAGCACTTTGCATTTACCTTCATGCCGTTGTATTTTTCCTGCATCTTTCGCTCAGATTCCTCCAGCTCCTTAAGTTCGGATTCGTACTTATCCCTCACGCGCCTGAAAAGAAATGCAAATCAAATGAGTCGATTAGTCCTGCTGAGATAGCCAGGGGTTACAAAAAATATTATTTCCAACTTCCGTAAAAAGTAGGTCATCTAGTCTCTCAGAAGTTAAAGAGAGTTTACTGTCACTAACAGGCAGCAGCAAACCGAACAGTCAATTTTTTGTTTGACGCTATTTGTATGGCTAATATCTCCAATGTAACTGGTCAAGACCAAATCAATATTTCCCAAAATGTATATTTCGATTTAAGTAGTTTGACATTGAAGGAGAACGACACGACTTACTTGATTCTGTTCTCTGCAGCTCGTTCG